GACTTGCATTTATAGTAAAATAGTGATTGATCAACCCTGGGCCGTTCAAATCCTGTATAATCGAAAACGCTATAAGATTAAGACTAGGGAAGTATAAACGCCCTTATGGCATTCTACGTTATCAACTCTTAAGATTAAGATTAAGACCGAAGCATAAACCGGCCATTTGTGTCTGGCGCTAGTCTGCATGCCATATTAGCTCCTTATCAGGCAGTGGGGCAAGTAAGTTAGCGCCAGCCTAGCACCATGGTGATTTTTCTACCAGGGATACTTTGAATGAAATGTATTATTTGTACATATACAATTAGGAATGTTTGAATTATATAGTTTCAATACCGTTATTTTTCATTCATATTGCATATGCCCTGGTAGAAAGTGCCATGCTAGATCCTGATGTCTAGCTAGCTCCCATCTTGACTGTCATGTTGTATCCCCATTTAATATAATAAATTTAGTTTTGACGTGGCGCGAATCAGCGTCAAGCTATTTCTAGCGAGGCGCTAGAAATATATTATGTTAATAATGTCTGACTAGAAGTAGCCTGGCGCTAGTTTACTCCAGACTACTTCTAGTATAGTAAAATAAGAACTGCGTGAGAACTAGCTCTATCGCCACATCATGGCTAGATAGCACTACAATAGAGCTAGATAACACCTGACTAGTCGATTAAGTCGGGTATTAGACTGGAAGAATGTGATGATTTTGTGTCTGGCGCTAATCTGCATGTCATACTAGCTCCTTATCAGACAGTGGGGCAAGTAAGTTAGCGCCAGCCTAGCACCATGGTGATTTTTCTACCAGGGTGGTATCCACATGACATTAATTCTTGGCGTTTCGTTAAAACAAAACGAGCTCCATAATAATTCAATATTCAATAAAGATATTTAATTCTCATCTTCAATATTATTAATACAACTTGCAAAAATATAATATCAAAGGTTTAATAAAAATAATACTCACATTGCTAAAACATCCAAAGAAATATGCGGACGGTGTAGTTCATAAAAATGTGAAATGATCACTTATATAAAAGCTACACTGGCAATGTATGATAATTAATAGAAACTCATCCACGTTGCGTGCAGATAAATGTAGTACAGAAGCCCATACAGTTATTATTCGAATTCTAACAGAACTGGCACTTGATATATCTGCAACAGAGCGTTCTACATTAGCAATGTTATACGTTCGTAATGTTAATGTTCCTCAAATTTATTTTGTAAAATATATAGATATATAAAGAATCGCAAAATCATTAATTAAAATAATATAGAAAAAGTTCTTGAAAAAAATAGTAAAAATCTTTACGGGTTTTTTATTATAAAAAATAGTTTTTAAAATATATGAATTTAAAATAGCTAATTATAAATGATATAATTGTTCATCGCGTATGCGATTTAAATTAGTGACCGCATTCACTGACATTAGACAAAAAATTGTGTTGATGAATAAACTATAGCGAATAATGCACATTTCGGATAACTATAGAAAATCGAGTATTATATTGAATAATTATTGTTAACTTCTCCCTGGTAGAAAAATCACCATGGTGCTAGGCTGGCGCTAACTTACTTGCCCCACTGCCTGATAAGGAGCTAGTATGGCATGTAGACTAGCGCCAGACATAAAATCATCACATTCTTCCAGTTTAATACCCGATTTAATCGACTAGTCAGGCGTTAGCTAGCTCTAGTGTAGTGCTATCTAGCCGTGGTGTGGCGCACGGTAGTTCTGATGTTGTACTATCTAGCCATGATGTGGCGATAGCTAGTTCTCACGCAGTTTCTTATTTTTATAATCGACATCCAGACGTTAAAAATAAATTTAATTATTTTACATTAAAATATATATAACAAAATATAAAATATTTAACTTTCGATAATTCTCTCTTAATATTTTTACATACACATGTCCGTATAGAATTTGACGTTGCAATGTTCGGAAAAGATCTAAATGTTCACAGAAAATGATATTCAATAGAAACTCAATGTTTTATATCCAAAATTATATTAACATAAATTTTTTAAGCACTGTTAATCTGGACATTTAAATATGGAAGTTATATGAAAGTATTAATATGTTAAAACATTGAACAAAATTGTTTCAACAATTGTGTGAACTTTTTATTCTATATGGATGATAAAATGAGAAATACAATTAAGGAATAATTTAAGAATAATTTTAAAAAATTAACAACTTGAAAAGACAGTTATTAGGCGTTTAGAGTTTGGTTTTTAATTCGATCCTTTCGGTGTCCCTCCCAGTCTTTTGCATTCGACAAAGTATTGCTGATTGTCTTCAAAATGTGGGATTCTTTAATATATTCTCCCTTTATATTTAATCCGATATATATGTCTGAAATAATTGTAAATAGAAATAATAAATTATGCACATACACGGTATGAGTTCAGTTACTTACTGATAATAATTAAATAATATAGTTATTTACCTTCTAATATACTGATACAGACGAGTTCTATTTGAAAACTTTTTTCCCGTTTATCTCTTTAATTGCCGTGTATTTTAATGCAATCTCTCTTGACATAATTATTTTTAATTTGTTGCTAATGTTTTTCGATAATGTTTGATCTACATCGATGTACTGACGTAAATAAGCACACTGAAAATATAAACATAGAAATTGTTAGACTATGCAAAACACTATCAAAGAACTGTTATTATATTTTACATACACACACACACGCACACATACTACACACATTTTAATTATACTTATACCAGATTTATTATACTTATACCAGAAGCACTTACAAATTCAGAACAAAAATTTTCCATTTTTAATTTTGTGTTAAATTACAAGCAGCCGTTTGATTAATCAGAACACTTTTTATTTTTTTTATATCAAATGCGATATTTTCTACTTTTGAAAGTAGCAAATTTATTTTTGTAAATAAAAATTTATTTTAAAAAATTTCGAAACATATATACATAAAAAATTATATATATATATGTGTGTGTGTGTGTGGAAAATTTCGATTGCGTTTATAATTTCAACTAACTTGTATCATTTATTTCAATCGCAGATTTCAACTGTTGTATAACATCAGCGGAACCCTCGTTTAGCTGGTTTGTTAAAATATTCGGAATAGTTGATATGACGGGTATTTCATTTTCAAACAGTAAGACATTTTCCTCCTGGCACTGTTGATCTGAAAAATATACAAACTTCTAGTAAAAATTAGTCAAGAAATATATAGTATAAGTTTATCTAAAAATACCATACCTAAATTATTTGAAAACAAGTCCAAGTCATAGAATTTTTCATCTGAAAAAAATACACCATAAAATTAAAGAATTCGTAAATAATGTATTCTATAAAGAAACATTTCATCATTATGAAATCATTGAAACGTATTTTATTATTTATAATTATACGATTTCTCATTTGCCATTTACTTCTGTAATTCAAGATAATTAAGAATATCAACATTTAATGTTGTGAACAAATCTAATCTGAATGTAAACGAATATAAATAAGAAATTTTATAAATTACCTTTGTCATGTTTATCTTTACTAGATTCTTCATAAGAATCATTTTTCATTGCAGTGTAATTTTTGTCGTTGGTTTGCTGTGACATACACTCATCTGGAAAATAATTATAAAAATAATAATGTGTAAAATTATAATAAATGATGCAAAGTATTTAATTACGAATGTAAACACAGAAAAATGATGTTTGTTCAAGTGAATTAATTTGAGAATTACTAGCATTTTTTACAAACTTCATTAGATTTCTCATCTGTATATTACAACAATTAAAATAATACGTATAGTAAAGAAAATTAAATATATTATTTAACTAATTATGCAATATAATCAATTTAAAATATTATTCTTAAACAAATAGACTGAGCAGGAAGAATTACTATATTCATCAACATCAAATGATTTTTATACCAAAATGAATGTTAAATTATGTTGTATAAAATTATAAAAAATTTTTAATTATGTTGCAGGCGTTGTGGATTGTAATGTATAAAAATATAATAATATATAGTTATGTAGAGCAATTGATGTAAATGTAGTGGCAATAATAAAAAAGTAACATACATAATTGAATTATATGATACATATGCATTCAAATAAAGTTACCTTCGAATAAGGTATCACATATTGCAGATTCGTCCGTGCATTTATTCTTTTTCTCAAGTCTTTTTGATAAATTTTCGCCTAAAAAAATAAGAAAATGTAATTATATGCGGTAAAAATTTAAATAGATACATTAATTATTAAACTTAGACAATCACAAAGTACATTTAGATGAGCTAGATAATTTGGAAGAACCAATTTTTTCTGCATATGATTTTTCGCCAGTCTTTTTTAATATTTTAAAAGCTGAAAATGTTAAAAAATAATTAATAATTATAAATTATTATTGAATATAAAAATAGATTATTAATACATCTCATCCTATTAATTATGCTTTAAATACACATTTTACAAATACATTCGTTTGGAAGACGATCCTCGTGAAGAAATTCTTCCACTGTCGTGACAGAATTGAATAGTTCGTTTATCTGTTTTTCATTTTTTAAAAGTTTTTTTTTGCGAATTGAATTTTCTACTTTCTTTGATTTTTCATTTTGATCTTCATTTGAATTACTTGTAAAAGCAAATTCCTTGTCATTTAATAATTGTAATCTAAGCAGAGCATCGGCATACGTTTCTGTAATAAGTTTATTACAATAATAACAATAATAAAAATTTGGTAATATTTTACAGTATTAACTTCTTATATAATTAATAGTAAAATTACATAAATTCATACTTCCATGTGCTTTAATTTCCACGGTGTACTCCGGCCATGATGTTGGTGCAGTGTCTAAATTCTTTACAATGTTATGTAACAGTTCGGAATCTCTCTCAGTGTATGGTGGCGGAAGAAATTTACATTTTATTTTTTTTGTCTTCGCGTTCCAGTCGAGCCAATTTCTTGGCACAATGTCCAGTTGTTTTATGGACCCTTTTCTTCCTCTTGTCACGAATTGGACGATCACGTATGGACGACTTTCGTCGTCACTATCACTAGTGTCAGACATCTATAAATATAAGATAAACAAATTTAAATATACCCAGCAACCTGTAGAAAAATTATGTCACTGGCTATGTTACAATATCACTTACTGTGAAAATTCGATTTTTATCAATAGCGATGTTCAATCTTGTAAATACTTTTCGTTCAGTAGTCCTGCCATCTTGTTCGTGCTCGTGTTTTCTGCAACGTTTTTTGTTTCTCGAGCCTTGGTAGCGTTTCTATGACAACATTGTCGACATTCACACATGAATATTGACACCGTCTATTTTGACATTAGATAGACACTATTTTCTTCAGTTCGAATTCTGCAGACGTTAGCCTGCGGTATACACAAAGCATTTGCTTTGTGTAGTGGCTTAGAGTGCAAAAGTTTGGAAATTGCAAGCTTCTACACGACTATCACTGCCAACCACACTACATTGTTATAAACCTTTCTATTTGAATCCATATTTTCATGTTTTGCACACTGCACTTATCACCGCACCACATCACACTAAGCCAATTGTAAACTTAAATATTCGCTTTTATATTAATGCAAAAGTTCCAAAGCAAAGACTTTTGTATTTTCTTTATTTGGTTTTAAAATCATTAATTTTGTTGAAATTGTATTAATTAAAATTGATTTGTCTGTTGATGCTGGTTTAGGATTTAATTCATAAATATCTACATTTGCAGAATTACACGGATATGTGTACACGAAATCCTTTACTTTCATAATGTCGACGTTTGCTTTAAAAATACCATCTGTGACATATATTTTTTTTATACGACAAATATTTTTATTGTTTAAAATAACAGTATTGTCGGGTGATTTTGTTGTAATGGTTATTTGTTTATATTTTAATTTTTTTATTTCTCCATTAGTCTGTTGTAGAATTTCTATTGAAGGGAGAGACGGTTTTTCATTAAGACATAATTTTTTTTCGTGCATTCTTCGAGCTAATTGAGGAGCAACATTGTGTGGTGAACGTAATGTGTTTTTTATTTTTCCTAAAAAAATTTCAAACGGAAACGCAGTTATGTAATTTAAGTTACATTGCATATTCTGTACGTCGTCTGGTATATGTTGAAGGCTGTGTACGTTCATTACCACAAATTCTGGACCATACAGTTCTTTTGATATTAAAATGAACTTTTGCAACAGATCTCTGGCGTAATCGACATAGTTTAAAGCATTTTTTGAACATAACATTCGACATGCTACATGTAAAAGAAGAAAATGCTTGTACATATTTTTATCAAGAATATCTTTAAATAGAATTGGCCCGCCGAATAATAAAATAAATCTATAATCAGTTACTTTATAATTTAAATGGCACGATACAGGTCTAATTTTTCGGTCAAACTCGATTGGCTGCTGGTGTTTTATAATTTCCATTTTCTTGCATAATTCGCTTCTCTGCTCTTGACTTAATTTAACATTTAAATCATTAGACATCAACGCATCCAATATTTTTTTCATGACTCCTAAAAAACAAAGATGCATTGAGTCGAGAATAAATTGATCTATCATATTCAATGATGGCTGTATTAATACAAGCGGAGAAACAATTGTGTGATGTTCGATATCGTTGAAATTTCTGAAAGTTTCGTCAGTTCGTTTTTCACAATTATCTTTGGTTATGTATATGTCATTGTATTATTAATTTTTATTCCTTCAATTGTACACCGTTCACAGCCATATTTAGCATTGTGTCCTTTTATACCTTTCAAGAATGATCGAGCCGGTGTATCACATACAAAACATTTGATTTTTACTTCATATTGTTTACCGTTAATATCTATGCCACTATGCTTAAGATCGTTAATTTCTAAAATAAATTGACATAAAAATTCTTCTACATCCTTCGGTTTATGATTTCCTGAGTATAATGCTGTGACAAATGGAGAATAAACGTCAGGTTCAAAGTAAACTTTTACGAGTATAGGTCATACAACTTTTGCACTAGATTTAAATAGTTTTATGCCATCGATATTAATAATTAAATTTAAAGTATTGCTGTTATGTATATCGTTATTTACACAAGACTGTAGGCCTTGTTTAATACCAAAGTAAGTA